AAATTATTTTTAAAAAATATTAGAGGTTTCAGGGTTTCAAATGAACACTTTTTTTATTTTGTCCAAACTAATAGTCAATAGTCATGGAAATAAAAATGCTAGAAAGTTAATTTTCGTGTTCGGTTACATGTGTGAGCCACTGTATCTGTATAAAAATTAGGATCGACATTCTTGTTTCACAAAAAATATCGTGTCATTTTTCATGCATAGTGATAACGGTAAGATATCCAATACTGCGCCATAATGCAAGTTTGAATTGTAGATCAATCTGAACTTTTTATTTTATAATATAATAATATGTAGTAATTTCACAAATTTATATTTTAAGAAAGAAAAAATTTAACCAAATTATAACTTAATCAAAAAGCTATCATTTTGTTAAGGATAGGGTATTTTGTAATAATGTTACACAATATATTATATAGTGTTGATCGTGGAATTCAAGTTTCTTTTAAAACAGCAAAACTTGCGACTTTTAGATAATGTTTTGCCAGTAAATAATATCTTATTAGATAAACATTTTAAACTGTTTGAGAGTATATGCATCCAGTTATATATAACTTTTTTGCAAAGAAGTTCGTCTGTAACAAAGTTAGCTTAAAGACAAATATAAAATAACTTTGCGCATGTGGTTTCAAAAATGCGCATGGAAGTCAAATTTGTTTAAGGAATTTGATCGATAGCATATAGTTTCTGGAACAAATAGAACACCAATTTCTGAAATGATGCATGTAGCCCATTTTTATTACCGTACATGTACGTGTATTGGTATTGAACATGAAATATAACTAATTATTTTATAAATGAACTCAATTTCAGTTTTTTTCTCCTTTCAGCATTTGTTTGAATATAAAATTAATAATGGTCACTTGATTGAGTCTTTAGGTAGATGTATTTAGTGTTGTCTGTCAGTACGCCCCTTTAGAACATCCTCAAATTGCTCCTTTCATACAATTCAGCGTATACTTGAATATAAAATTAATAATAGTTACTCGTTGAATTGTAGGTACGTAGATATATTCAGTGTTGTCAGATTGTATGTACCTTTGGAATATCACAAATTTGTCCTTTTCGTAAATTCAGCATTTGAGTCTTTAGGTTAATGTGTACTTTTAGAACATCCTAAAATTGCTCCTTTCATAAAATCCAGCATTTGTTTGAACTAATAGTCACTTAATTTCATTTGCTTGAATTTTTATTATTGTTATTCTTAATATGTATAGATTAAATAAAAAACCCCCATAACGATAAAAAATCCCAAAAAAAAGAATTACCCGTTACGTATATACTATCGTTGATATAATTTTATGCATGTAATGGTAATGATATGTAATTCATATATCAATACGTAACGATAATGGCTTTTTTTATACAGGATCTCCCAATATCCTGACACCCAAAATTCTGATAGTTCATAATCCTGACAGTCAAGATCCTGAATGGTTCAAGATCCTGACAGTCATAATCTCAACATTCAAGATCCTGACAGTTTTTTGATGGTATAACTTCACAAATCTCATTATTTTAACAATAGGAGGTTTATGATAAAAAAGTACCAAAAGGTTATGATAAAAAAGTACCAAAAGGTTATGATAAAAAATATCAAAAACATCAAAAGATTTATGTGCCAAATAATCGAGAGATATGCGTGAAATAATTGAGAGAATGCAGGCAAAGCAAATACACAAAATATATTTTGATCAACTTTAGTACAACTAATTACGTAGTGTAAGTTTATTAAATTATTGATTAAAGAAAACTATCGAACCAGTGTAATAAAGTTACTAGTGAAAACTCGCTAATATTGGAATTTGTACATTTCGCAATGTTTCTGAGCTCCAGACTCTGTGTTATGAGGCTGAAAGTCAGAGATTTTTTTGACAAAATATACTAATTATAAGGTGAAAATATTACATAATTGTCTATTGTGAACTATTCAGAATCTTGAACTGTCAGGATCTTACTGTCAGAATTTTGAATTTTGGAATGTCGTGGTAGACCTGTACAGTACACCAAAAAGTAATGCCTGATCTGAAATTATATAATAAAACATATAAAAAATGGAGATTTTTTAAATTTTTTTATAATAAATATATTTAAAAATTATATCATTTTAAAGCTAATGAATTGTAATTTTGAAAAAAGTCATACAAAATTTAAGTACAAGAACTGTTTGATTCCCATATCTGAAAAAAGATTTATCATGCTTTATATACAAAAAATTGAAAATTTCAGTTTATATATATTTATTTCTAAATTTATATCATTTTTTAAAATGAAAGAACTTTTTAATTATAAAATCAACAAAAAATTTTTATATGTATTTTTTACTATATAGGTAGTTTTAAATCAGGTGATACTTTTTTGGGATACTGTACATACGATTTGGCAACACTGCAAAAGACTCAATCAGATGACTATTATTAACTTTATATTCAAACAAATGCTAAATTTTATGAAATAAACAAATTTGGAATGTTCTAAAAGTACATGTGATCTGACAATACTGAAATATATCTATCTAATAATTCAATTGAGCAGATATTATTAATTTTACATTCAAGCAAATGATGGATTGTATGAAAGAAATGATCCAAAGACACATACGATCTGACAACACTGAATATATCTATCTAATAACTTAATCTTGTGACTATTATTAATTTTACATTCAAACAAATACTATATTTTACAAAAAAGCAATTTTGGGATTTTCTAAATATTATTACATGTACGTATTTATTTTTTTCTAGTATATATACGTATCTACATATTTCTTAGATAATACATGTAAATGGAAAAATCAACGCTATATGTACTACCACTACATGTAATACTGATAGGCATTATGCAAGAGTACAAAGTTTTGTAATTGGTAGCGAATATTGATAACAATAGTGAATTTTACTCACGCTAATAAATTTATTGTTCTTTGTCTTATCGTTATTATTGGAAATTATGGTAATAATAACTTAAAAGTTTTTTAATTAGTATTATTATTATTAACAGAATAAAACAAACAAATCTATTTATGTAATATTGTCATTATAGATTCCAACACATTCTGACAAAAATTGAGCAAAACAACTCATATATCAAAGCAATCATCATATAAAAATTTCACGTCATAATCGGTCTGTTTTTGTTCACGATACTACTCAACTATCTATTTTAGATAAACATGATCATATAGATGATGCATTGCAAGAGCGAAATCCTGTATATATTAAATTGCAAATACCTGGAATTGTTGCAGATATGGATGGAAAAAGTTTAGTTCCTTTGATTCTGGAATATCATATTTTTACATTTTTTGGAGGAGTTTATTGTTCAGTAAAATTACATTGGTGTGCTATTAGACAAATTATTTTATATGAATGGACTCAATTTGGTCTTGATGCTTCGTTTACCAATACAATATTAACCTGAATATTTGAAAGTCAAAATTCTCTTTTACATTATATTAGAGATACATCCACTTTACAATATAAAGGAGAAATATCCTTACTATGGCTACTTGGATTTATAACTACTGAAAATGTTCAATGATTACGTGGATACATTGCAAGTCATTTTTCACATATTTTTGATATAGAGAAAAAACTCTATCAACAAGAAATAGAAATGAAATGTATAATAACATTGGGAAAACGGATAGCAAAATCTATTTTTAATAGCCAAAATGAAAGAGTTTCAAAAAAAATCATACAATTACAATCTGAAGGTTGGAAAATTACAGGAAAAATTGTACAAGAATTAGAACAAAAATTGAATAATACAACTTCTGAATTGCGAAACACACGTAAAAAATTGCATCGTTCACAAAAAAAAATTTTGACCTTACAAGAATTATTAGAACATGAATCTGATTTATCAAGGTATAATAATACATATATTGAAAAATCAAAAATTGATTAAAATATTATTATATTGATTTTTTAGTGAAAATGATGAAAATTATTCTTTTGATAGTAATGAAGATATCAATATATCAATTACAAGAAATCCTGAATTTCAAGAACTAATTCAACATCTTATTACCAAGGGAAAATTGGGATCAAGTCTTTTTGTAAGCACTGAATTATTTCTGACATATGTATTGAATCAAAAATGTCCTATTTGTCAAAATAAAAATGTGAATGAAAAGAAACATAAAATAAAAGTCTCAGGATTATCTGTCAAAATCACAATTATTTGTCAATGATATAAAACAAAGATCTTTCACGGAAATGAAGAATCTGGAATGAATTTTTCAAATATTATAGCTGCTGTAGGATTGGCTGGTGAAGCTAATCATGAGGAATGGTCTACAATGTTATGTTTATGTGGAATAACACGTCAAAGTGGAAATTCTCAATATTTTCAAAAGCAAGAAAGATTTTTCAATGGAATTAAAACTGCTGCAAAAGATAGTGCAAATAATGCATTACGTATAGTTTGTGAAGAACTTACCTCAAAAGGAAATGAGATTTTAGAAGTTGAATTTGATTGTGCATGGAGCAAAGTTCGAGAAGCTCCTCAAGCAAGTGCAGAATTTATTTATAATGGAAAACTAGAAGGTAAATAAATAGTAACAAAGATTTAAAAGTTAAAATATAATAAATTAAAACTAATATGTATAATTATAAATAATTTATTTGTTAGGATTTTGTCATAAATCTATAGTTGTATTTAATGTGGTAGAAAAATCTCGTATTTATAATAATAAAAATGGAAATACTATAATTATCAACAATGGTAATTATAATGGTAGCAGTTAGCAAATGGAACATGCAAATTTTATTGGAGCTAATATTACTTTAGATGTTGATGTTGATGGTGATTTAAATACCAATAAAACATTTTGTGGTGAAAAAGTAGTTCATAGAATTTTTGCAGATTTAAAGCACAAATCAAAAATTTTAAGAAAGAAAATAGATAATTTTAATTATAAATTTAATATATTGATACTTAATTAATTTTATTATAATATTAGTTAATCAAGAAAAATGGAAGCAATTTGAACAACCAATAATGGATTTCTATACCAGAAGTGTTTATGCTGCTGTTGCAAGATTACAAAATCCTGATATTATATCACCAATTGATGATGAATTATATTTAATGCAAAGTGAAGTGTGTGTAGACCATCTTCTTGATAAACATGATAATTGTTGGGCTGAAGTCTGTTGGAAGGCTCAAAATCCAGAAATTGACTTGGTTGATACCAATATGATTGGATATACTCAAAATCAAGCAAATATTCTCAAAGAATTTCTCAAAAAACATACAAAACTTCTTTTAAAGCAGAGTCTAATAACAACTATACGAACTAGTATCAATGAAGCATTTAATCGTGTAAAATTGAATTACACTGATAAAAAGGTGGATTTTGCAAAATCATTTTCAGCACGACATGGACTTGCAGTCTTACACAATAATAATGATCTTTTAGAAATGTTAAAAGTCATTAGACAAGCAGGAAATCTTCCAGAATTTTCTGAACAAGATCAAATAAATATTGAAAAAATCTGGAAACAAAGAGAAAGCAAACGTAAATATAATGTTGTAGAAATCAATAAAAAAATGCTGCTCGAGTCAAAAAAATTGCAGAAACACAAAAACAAATGGAAGAATTTGATTTCTCAAAGGTATGATCAAGATATATTAATATATTAAAATATTTATATTAAAATAATAAGTTTAATTTTTAGGATTTAATATCTTATGGAATTACAATTAAAGAGAATGTAGTTGATCAAGAATTCTAACCCTCTTTTGCTCATTTAATATCTGATTTTGATGGATTTATTCTCTGTGAAGGATGCAGATGTTTTCCAAAATGATCTCTAAAAGATGGTTTGTGTCGTCTATGTCATTATTACAATGAGCATGGATTAGCACATTATATTATAAATCCAAAATTTCATGAAAAGCAAAAATTAATACTCCCTATAGAATTAGTTGATTCTATTATAAGTGAATTTTTCAGGTTAAATAATTATCGCGAGTTGCAACAAGAGAGTATAGAATCTTTTTTAAAGGGACAGGATACCTTAACAATTTTGCCAACAGGTGTTGGAAAAACACTTATTTTTTCTGTTGCTAGTATATTATCGAAAGCTTTAACAGTTGTTTTTATACCCTTAAAGACCATAATGGAATTTCAATTAGTAAGTAGATTGATTCAAAGAACAAGTATAAAAATTAGTTAACTAATTTAGTATTTAATACTATCTTAAGCATGAACTTGTGGGAATGGGCATACCTGCTGCTGCAATATTTGCTGCTTTAGATCAATTCTTAGAAGTACAGGAAAAAATTTTTGGTGAAATCGCAGCACGTATAACAAAAGTTTTGTGGACTACATCTGAAAAGTTTGTTAATAGTTCAAGATTTCGTCATTTTTTACATAATGTATATAAAACACGTGGCATACAATTTGTTATTGATGAGTCTCATTGTGTTCTAGAATTTGGACAATTTAGGTCAGTATTATATTGAACTTCAAAATGTAAGATTCAAAACAATATAATAAATGCACTCAATATATTTGATAGACCTGCATGGGCAGAATTAGGACAAGTAAAGAATAAATTTCCATCAGCACCGATTCTATTATTGACCGCAACTTGCTCTTATCAGGGAGCATCAGAGCTTGCGACAATTTTGCAAAGACCAAATCTGAAAGTGATTTGAAGCTATCTGATATACCGACCTCAACTGATATTCTGAATTTATCCTAAACCATCAGAAAAGAAGGCTATTATAAAAGCAGTATATGAGAATTTAAAGCAAATCTCTGAGGGTCGAGCAATTATATACTCATCAACTCCAGACAAATGTATAGAGATTTTCAATGACCTTAAAGAATGCATAGATCCTAAACGACTTGATATCTATCATGGAAAAATGCACAGTGTTGATCAGAAAATGACTATACGTTTATGAAATAATCGAGAATTACAATATATAATCGCCACAAATGCTTTTGGTATGGAAATTCACACATCAGATGTCTGAATCGTTATTCATACTACCTTTCCATTATCACCTACGAATTTTGTTCAAGAGGTAGGACGAGCTGGAAGAGATGGACAATTAGCTAAAAGTGTAGTTTTGTATTCATGCGCAGATATTCGTAGATTACTAATGATTGTTAATGGAAAAATAGAAAGGTAAAGTACATGTAGTGAGTATATTATAAGTTATAAATTTATAAATTTATAAGCATCAATATTTCTTTAGTGCCAATGAGCCTAATATAGATGCTGAAATAAGTGAATTCATCTCTTTTGAGATTAAACGTCACTATGCTCATTTAAACAGATCGAAACAAAATATATTTGCAATGGCCTATACCTTCGAAGACTTATATCAATGCTGCTGGAAAATGGCATATGAGCCATTCAGGTGGATAGAGGATTCTGAAATCTCTGAGTATGGTATTTGTGATAATTGTGAAAGACGCATTGCAAAAGAAGTCGTATGGTGTGATATTCGTAGAGATTTGCTTCAGATTTTAGATACAGTTAATAGACTGATAGAATTTGCGAATAATCTGACAACACGGTTGGTCAATTTTGGATACGAAGACATTGCAGATGTCTTTATGAAAGCTGACAACAAAAATACACGTGAGAAAAATTTGACTTCTTTGTGGGTAAATAGAAATAAGGATGATATGGAAGATGACACTGAAGAATCATTTATTAATACAAAAAATGCATGTTTACACGCTATTGACAGGCTTTGTGTAGAAGGATTGTTGGTGCAAAAGGTAGCAATCAAACCGTTGCGACCAGATTCTTCGACATTTGTATATACCTCTAGCATCTCCGAGATTGCTGCTGGGGCAAGACAAAAAATAGCAGAAAATTCATGGCTCGAGGTATTGAAACTGAGCAAAAGAAGAAGTAAAGTTGTATAGACATACAGATTGCCTGAAAGTATAACTTAGGTACAACTATTAGATTCTAATGAAATACTCGTGAATTTTATTTCATTTTATTTGTAGTTATTAGAAAAATCCCCTTGTTGAAATATTCAAATATTTGTTTAGATTATAAACTAACCTTTGGAATATTATAAATTTTCTTCTTTCGTGAAATTAATAATAGTTCTTGATTGAGTATTAGATAGATATAATAGTCACGCAATCGAGTCTGTAGATAGATATATTCAGTGTTGTCTGCGCCTCTTTGGAACATCTCCTTTCATAAAATTTAGCGTTTGCTTGATTGTAAAATTAATAATACTGATACGTAGTCACTCGATTGAGTCATTAGATAAATATATTCAGTGTTGTAAAATTATATGTATCTTTGGAATATCGCAAAATTACTCCTTTCGTACAATCTAGCGTTTGTTTGTAAATTAATATAGTTTCTTGATTGAGTTTCTAGTAGATACAGAAATGCAACACTGAAAAAAAATGGCGAGATATGAATACCTCGCTGTAGGGAAAACTTGGACAACTAAAAGTTGAGTATAGTGATTCATCAATATCTTTAGTAATAATAATATCAAAAGTTATTTGCATTTATCTTTTGATTGGCGCTTATTATGACCGAACTGGAAGGTGACATTGAAAGACAAATTTCTAACTAAGGTAAGTAACAAACAGCCAAAAATTTTTTGCATTAGATATTTCTAACCATATTTAATAATTTATATAACATCCTTTGCTTTTATTACCTCACTAATCCTTTTTGGTATGACACGTATAATTTAGAACAATAATCAAGTTCTATGCTCTTCTACGCACTTGCAACTTTTCCCACAACTCTTCTGTAGCTGAAGTAGTTCAGGAAGTTGTCTCATGCGTGATCCACCTCATTCCATAAATTTTCTATGGGTTCAGGTCAGGAGACTGGGATGGCTAGTCTAGCAAAGTGATCTCGTTGTCAGCGAACTATTGCTTTGCTTTGCCAGAGATGTGTTTTGGGTAAAGATGACACTTCAACTGTTGCAACGTGGTGACAAATAAAGCATTACCTAGTTGCAACTAGTTGCGGCTTATAAAATTTTGGAGTTGCAACATGTTGCAACGGGTGACAAATAAGTGTCACATACTTGCTGCGCCATCTCTAGTTTTGGGTCATTATCCTGCTGAAAGATAAAATCGCTATCCTCATAGAAGATTATTTGTTAGGATATCCATGTAGACATCTGCATTCATTTTTTCCAAATTTGACAGTTGGCATAATATGCTGGTCTTTGTAATATTTTCAGCCATATGACCTGAAAATTTGGTAATTGCTTTCGTCAGACCAAATTACATGTCGCCATTCATCGGCTGTTCAACTTTGATGTTTCTTTTCCCACGCCAACCATTATTTTTTGTGTGTTGGTTTGAGGTAAGGCTTTTTTCATTTTATGCGAGCAAATAATCCATTTCTGTGGAGCATACGTCATATGCTTTTCACTGAAATATCAATGTCCAACTCATTTTTAAGCTCTCGTTGGACCTTGACAGCGGTACTACATTTTCCGGAGTAGATTAATTGTTGAGAGGGTTGGTGGGCGACTGGTTTTGGCTTGTCGTCAAAACTTCTGGTCTCTTCTTTCTTTTTGCATATCCGGCAGACGGAGACTGGATCTACTTTTACCGATGCTGCAATTTCCCGCATCAAATATCCTTCTTGCCGGAGCGTGTGAATACGGACGCGTTTCTCTATTGGAACTCTCACTTCCAGTTCGGTCATAAGTGCAACGCTGAAAAAGATAAAAAAATTAGTGTATTGTTACCATATTATATGAGTCCTTGGGAGAGTTGGTGAGTACTTAATAACGTTATAATAAGTTACTTGGCCAGGGTAATTATAATAAAGTTTATTAAGAATGACGGGTGGGAGAGTATAATATAATCAAATCTATATAATGCATCA